AAAAAAGCACGTAAAATGCATGCAGAGTAAACTAAATTAGGCAATGTACCGAGTTAGATTTACTCGGTGGTGTTCGATCATTGTCGTTACGTCTCGGCTTAATTCAGATAAGTGCGGACAGTGCGGTTTGTTGTTTTCAATTTGACGTTCGGTTTGACTCATTATTTGATTGACGAAGGTAGTGGTAGAGCAATAGTCGCCACAACATAACGGTCAATAAGGTAAAATTTAATACTCTTTTTTAGCCTTTGTAGTAAATTTTTTATTTATTTCTAGTATTTACCCACAGAATAAAAGATGCGTAAAAAGAGAGAACTCAAATGTAACGAAGAGCTAGGCAAAAAATTTCCATTTATTAAAAAAACCAGAATAGACTATATGGTACGGTGTGATAAATGCAATGCTGAATTTTCGGTCTCACATGGTGGAAAAAACGATATTACTAAACATCTAGCGACAAAGATTTTTGAATAATGCCGCTTCCTCGTCTAAAATGGAACAGTTTTTTCGCAGTGCTAGCTTTGGAAACACGGAATAACAGCTAGCATTAGCGGAAGGGCTCTTTGCTATCCACGCCATAAACTACAATCAAAGTTTCGTATCAGTGGATTGTATGTCGCAAATGATCAAAACCTTATACGACAAAAAATTTGCATGTGCAAGGACAAAAACCGAAGCAATTATTTGTAATGTTTTTTCACCATATTCGTTTTCACAATTGCAGAAAGAATTATAAAAAAGCGCATTTATATTCTGATGCTTCCATTCACAAAGATTTAAAATTATTTCCCACAATTGTTGGATTTTTTGATCCAGAAACAAGAATTAAAATTAGAATATTGGATTTTGTTTCATTGCCGGGTGAAACTTCACAAATAATTTTCGATTCAATAAGAACTGTTTTAAAAAAGAATAATTTGAACAATAAAATTATTGCCTATTGTGCGGTTAACACTAACACAAATTTTGGTGGGAAAGCTAGAAAAGGCATCAATAACGTTTTTACGAAACTTAATGAACATTCCAAAAAATTATTGGAGTAGGTTGTGCAGCGCACATGCTAGCTCTTTTACCAGCTGAAGAAAATATTTTAAAGATATACGAACCATTAAAATCATATTTTTTATCTCAAGATAAATGTCCAAGAATATTGAAGCTCTTTTTTGAAAATGACACATCACAAATTTGGCTTCAGTTCATCCCTAACCAGGCTACATCATTTCACAATGCTGTGAAAATTATTGAAGGGGACAAAACTTCAATCACGGAAGTGTCAAATGAAATCAATAATTTAAAAACAAAATTACGAGAAAGAATTGATAACGATTACAATCTTTTAATTATTCGAAAAGACATCACTAGGTTGGAAGAACAAACATCACTAGGTTGGAAGAACAAGGTGCCATTAAACGACCTGATTTTCTGAAGCATGTCAAACATTTTTATAATAACTGCTTGGAATATCTTGAAGAATGGACAGTTCAACTCGAAGATATTAAAAATTTTCATTGGGTGACATTAAAAAAGGAGATTTTATGAGAATATGTTAGAAAATCTTTTGAATATATTAGTAACCATTTTCCGAAAAATAATATTTACGAAAATGATTTTTTTCATGAGGTGTCATTGGTAGAAACATATGTTACAGATGAAAAAATTAAATGTTGGTTGTCTGCAAATGTGGAAACAGACAAAAAATGGACGGAGTTATTCCTTCATTTTAAACAGAATAATATTCCTTATCAAAATATTTTGAAAATTATAGAGTTTGCTCTCTCCCTTCCAGGAACAAATGCCGCAACAGAGCGTGTTTTTTCTAGTATCAATAAAATTTGGACAACTGAAGAAGCGCAGTTGAATATTAAAACTTTAAAATCTATATTAAGTGTAAAATATAATTTGACCAATTCATGTGAAATATTTCACGACATTTTAATAAATGATCCGATTGTTGTTGTTGTTAATTTACGTCGCACTAGAGCTGCACAATAGAATATTGGCGACGGTCTGGGAAACATCCCGGTTGTTGTTGTTGTTCATTTACGTCGCACTAGAGCTGCACAATGGGCTATTGGTGATGGTCCGGAAAACATCCCTGAGGATGATCCGAAGACATGCCATCACAATTTTGATCCTCTGCGGTAGCCCGACGACTTGCGCGCGAAGTCGAGCACTTTACGGTAGCCCAGTTTAACGAGGACCCATACCGCACACCCTCGGTCCCTACGCAGACTGATCCAAGTGGTCACCCACCCGCACACTGACCGTAGCCAGTGATGCTTGACTTCGGTGATCTGCTGGGAACCGTATCTTAACGATTAGTCCACTGCGGGACAATAAATGATCCGAATATATTGCAAAGTATTCACTCGGATCAAAAATATAACCGTGAAAGAAAATCATAATTTTTTTTAAGTAAAATTTTTTATTTGATTAAAACTCATGATATTCAAATTATTATTTTTTACAAATATTTTCATAGTTACCAATAATTAATAATAAATGCATTTTTGTACAAGTATATGAATGTATGTAATAAAATATATATATAACTAGATTGTAATTCTCATTTCATCCCATTTGTCCCGCTTTGTCTCAATGAAAATAGGCTCACTTTATCCATGACAATCAAACTTTTCCTGATGGCTAACCATCAAAGTATTAACGTAGCACTTTCCATCACGGAATAATGGAAGTTTGTTGTCAAAAATCATGACTGGAAAATGTTGGATGAGGGTAACCATCGAATGATGTGGAGCCATCAAGAATTTTGACTTCGGTTTATTTAACAATTCTTAGGAGCATTTCAAACAGTTTTGACCATGCAATAAAATATTCTGTTAGGTTGTCAACTTGTGTTGAGATAATATTGATTTTAAAAAAAGACCTCTTTTAGAATCGTCGGTGAGATTTTTTAATACTGGGTGGGTGTTAAAAAAATGGCGGATTTGCAATGTACAACTCAAATTTATAAACTAAACGGGGAATTTTGTACTTACTTTTCTTGTACCATATCGGATCAAATGTAGCTTTTTAGGAGTACAGAACAATAAAGTGGTTTTAAAAAATTTACACCCGAAGAACGTCCATTTAATATCACTATCAAAAAATTTCGCTTTATAACCGACGTTGAACAGCCGTCCCAATTTTGGGTATACTACTACGAATGTTCAACTGCGTAGCCTTGTCATTTTGAACCCAATCCAGAAGACAAGGGAACTCCTGGATAAAGTATTGGACAAAATTTGCCTTCGTGGAAGACTTTTCGATGAAACTAACCAGCATTTGCATTACATGAAGAGGGAGACCACGAGACCCTCCCACGGTTAACCTGACGACAAGGGAACTTTAACCCGTGATTCGTCTACCACTGAGGATATTTTACGTCAGTAGTGTGGTCAGTGCAAGCAGGGTGCGGAATTCGAATCGACTAGTCATCTCTGGAATTCGAACCCAGTTCACCGGATTGGAAGACGAAGCTCTATCTCTGAGCCTGAAACGGCTCGCTATCATAAATTTGCAAAAAAGACTATATTAGATTCAATTCGGCAAATGGACACATTATTTAGATTTCTGTTTTAAAAAAAATTGTGATCGGCTCATTACGATCACTGACCAATCAATGATCAATAATGTAATAAAAGTAAGTGATCAATGATCACTTACCCATTGACCAAATGCTTTTTATTTCTGGATTCACTCCGTTCAACACCACAACGTCACAAAATACTTTTCCTTCTTCCGCATTCACATTCATATTGAAGTTACCGTCAAGAGCCAGTCATTATACGTTCGTAATAAAAAGAATATTAAGAATACTTTGAATAATTATGATGTAAATACTTTAAGAATGCCTGCTGGTGAAAATGAAAAGAAAAACAGCAGCGGTTGTCATAGCAACGCATGCGCACTTTTTACTATGACTCTTGATCAGAGTTGAAAAGTGTGTGTTGAAGCCACCCAATCGAAACCAAAACCCATTTTGACAATGAGTAAAACAAAACAAAAGAAAAAAGTGAGAGAGACCTCTTTAAAATAAAAGAGATAATTCAGTCATCAGAATAGAGTAGTGACCCCACCTTTAGCAGAAAATAACCTTTTGAATTGTCCAGCATCATCTCCAAGAGCCTTTCTCAGTAGTGACCTCTACTGTGTTCTCTAAAACCACCTCCTGTGCTTACAAGCATTAGAAATGGACTTATTCTATCTGGCTATAAGGATGTTCCTGCATCGAAGTGAAGCGTATATTTTCGTTTTAAGTGCTGCGGGCTCATTATCGAACTCACGCTGGAATTTCATCGAAAACATGCTTAAGGTTTTTATTTATTTTTTTTTTTATTAAGAGATTAAATAACCAAAAGTGGTTTGTGAATATGACGCTTATTAACAACGCATAAAATGCATTTGTATTTCATTCCAATTCAGAACTAGCTGCCTGCCACAGTTCTGTTGGTCAGCTTAAAACGAACTGCTTCGCTGATTCCATATGGAAATGGCATTTGAAGCTCAAATCAAAGGATCGCTGCTCCCTTCGTAGACTCTGGTTCCCACAAATATTACATACGGAAGAATATAAATTCTAAAATAAACTATCAAATAAAAGCAATTCACTGGTCTCCACATTATCTGCCTCAAATAGCATTTGCACTGAATTATTTNAGTTTCCTTGTCTTCTGGATTGGTTCAAAATTGCAAGGCTACGGAGTTGAACGTAAGTAGTCGTAAACCCATGAAATTGGGTCGGCTGTTCAACGACGGTTATAAAATAAAATATATGAAACTATGAGCTAAGGTGGATCAGGGAATAGAGTACTCGCCTCCTATTGAGGTGGCCCGGGTTCGAATTCCAGTGATAGCTGGTCAATACAAATTCCGCACCAGCGACAAGCTCGCACCGATCACAGTGCTAACGTAAAATATTAGTGGTTGGTGGATCATGGATTAGAGTCCCTTGCCATCGGGCTAACCGGGGGGGGGGGATTTTGGTGTTTGTGTCCTCTCCGTGTAACGCAAATAAGAGTTTGTCTGATCAAAAAGTCCTCCACGAAGGCAAATTTCTCTCAATACTTAATCCAGGTGTTCCCTTGTCTTCTGGATTGGATTCAAACATAAGAAGGCTGCGAACATTAGCAGTCGTAAATCCTAAAATTGGGTCGGCCGTTCGATGATGATTCAAAACACGCTAATTGGATACCCCCATTGCAAGTAATTTATTCGTTAATATCCTTATGAGAACTGTAGGACAACATTTATAAAATGTTTGGTCACTTTTTCTAAAAATTGAACATTTTAAACTGTTTTATGTTCGGCATTCCTTTTGAAGCCGTTCTCAAAATCTGAAGGAACAAGAGTGAAACTGAGGAAAAAAGTGTCAACCGTTTAAACTATACAATCAGCGTCTGATTTATAAAACCAAAATGAAGATCTTTATCTGAAGCGATAATGTGTTATCAGAGAGAAGGCAAGCGATGGTGGCGCCTTTTTCTTATCGAACAAACCACATAACGCCTTATTTTCTTTAAGCCAACGTTTCTCTTTTGGATATTGAAATTTGAACTTTCGTTTCAAACAATTGTTCACTCCATATGAATCCACTCGGCTCCACTCCTGGTGTGCTGGTGGGCCCGGATGGACACGCTGTGGTCACAGGTCACCTTGCCAGTAGCGTCATCGTCCAAACCAACTCATTGGTGGTACCAGGTGAGTCTTCTCTCCCCCCCCTTTATTGTGATGGACAATAGCCGAGCTAGGATTATAATGGAAGTAAAATACCCATACTATGTGTGCTATGCCTTGAAATAGCTCGTAAAAAAGATGAGGCGTTCAATTAAAAATAAAATTTATTTTAATATTGCGCGAATAATTTTCATATTTTGTATTCAATCTAAGTATATTTTTAATTCAAAATAGAAAAAATTGCCGCACATCGCATTCCCGGTTGTCTTTCAACTGGTCAGCTTTAGCATCAGAAGGAGAATTCATGGGTATTTTGACAAATCTTTACTCTAAACTTTAAAATACCTATGGAAATGAATTCGCCATGAAAAGTTTCTCGCGCGTTATAACGTTATAGGTTTGTAAAAACGAAGTTGTGGCATCATATATAAAATGACCACAAGACAAGGTATGTATGATTTTGCTGGTGGTTTCATTTTATTGAATGTCTTAACGGGCTGACGTTCATCTTATGAAAAATTTCATTCCAATTTAAAATTTGGAACGGTGCACACCTCTGGGACCCTATCTGCCGTGATTTTAATTACACAGCTGTAAGTGCTACCATTTTTCAAAAAAATAAATAAATCGTCCCTCAAAGAAACTGTCTCTAATTCATTATTTTAATTTATGTTCCTCATACACTGTGGTTGTTTTTGGAAAACTTTTATTAACAACCATAACCGATAGAGCATTCGCCTTCCTATGAGGTGAGGCAGCCGGGTTCGATTCCCAGCATCGGCTAGTCGATACAAATTACGCACCCAGCTCGCACCTACCACAGTGCAGGCGCAAAATATCCTCAGTGGTAGACGGATCATGGGTTAGTGTCCCCTTGGAGTCCGGCTAACCGTGGTAGGTTTTCGTGGTTTCCATGTTAGCTCCATCAAAAAGTCCTCCACGAAGGCAAATTTTGCCACTACTTGACCCAGCAGTTCCCTTGTCTTGTGGATTGGGTTTTAAATGACAAGGCTACGGACTTGAACGACAGATGTCGTAAAACCAAAAAACTTGGGTCGGCTGTGCAACGACCGTAATAAAATATAACAAAATAACCATAAATGTTCCTTTATAGTAATAAATATCTATATTGTGTAAATCTTAAGTTCCCAAAGAAGCCAACGATTCCAATGAAGCCAAGTTCGCTCACAATCTGATTTACACGTGTCGCCGGCTAACGATAATACACAGATGCATTAAATATGACACTATTGTGAATATTATACAAAGCTACAATTATTGAATACGATCTTGTGAAGGTTTTATTTGGACAAAAAAAACATTCACACCACTGTAGCTATAGATTTTTGACATCGTGATCTACAGTACTCAAAATAAAAAAATAAACAAAAACGGATCACCCTAAGTAACTTTTGATCTAATGACCGGATCGTCACGTTCCAGGATTGCTTCGAGGGGGGTAATCTCTAATAAATAAGTGCAGATGATGTTTGAAGTGACGAAATCGGTCCCAAAAAAGTACTATTCCTGAATAAACATACCCTTTTTTCGATGGATTCACATTTTCTTACCTCCAAAATTGGGAAATGGGATCCCCATACTTTGGTGAAAAGAGCACTCCAAAATTTGCACCATTTTAATGTTAATTTAACTTTTTGCTATGTCTCGAGAATTTTTTAAGCGAATGGCAAAAATTTTGCTCGCAACTATAGAATTCGTTTATCCAAAGATAATGCCATGCAAAAAGTAACTTTCAGCAACTATTTATTACTTTTTATTATTTTATTTAATAATGGTCGAAAAAATTTAAAATTGTAAAGCACACAGTTTTTTGAATCAGTTAAAAGATTGTAGTTTTAAATGACAAAATACAAAATTTTCGAGAAATGGGTCGAATAGTTTCTGAGAAATTGAATTTAAAAAAAAGTCAGATACTTAAAATTCTATTCTCAGAAACTATTTGACTGATTTTGTATTTTGCCTGATAAAATTATATTCTTTGAAATGATTTTTTATTTTATTTCACGTTGCGTTTTGCTTTACTGCACAAAATCTGTAAGACTTAGAAATTTGTAATTACGAAGGTATATTAAAAAAGACGAAATAATAAAACTCAAGATTTGTGAACTGCTAAACTTGTTTTGAGAAATACTAACTAAAACGAAGAATAATTTTGTTTCAAAATTCCAATTTGCTCGGAAAGTTATTTCAAGTATCCAGTGTTTTTTCGCTATTTTCTTCTCAACTTTTTTCCTTTAAATACTGACTTAATTATCCATGTTCTTGGTAGGGTAAACATTATAAGATGAAGAATTTTTTTTCTTCTGAGATCTATTTCTAAGATGCGTCAGAATATTCTTTTAAAAAAAGAAAAAAAGAAAAGAAAACATGGAGTGGTAGATGTCGGTTGAATAGCTCCTGAGATAATGAATTTCCAAAAAGCCAGATATTTACAATTCTATTTTTCAGGAATTATTCGACTTATTTAGCTCAAATTTCTTATTTTCCCATGCAAAATTATATTCTTTAAAATGATGTAAAAATTTGCATACCTTACGACTTAACATTTTTTCCAACCATTATTAAATAAAATAACAAATATTTACTAAAAATTATTTTTTGTGTATAGAATTATCTTTTGATAAACGAATTATATTATTGCGTGCAAAAAAATGTCAACTCGCTTGAAAAGTTCTCGAGATACAGTAAAATACGCAAAAATAAAAATGAACATAAAGGGGTTCAAACTTTGAACCGCTCTTTGGACCAAATTATGGAGACCATATTTTCCAGATTGCGACTCCCCCCCCCTCCCTATATTTTGGGGATCACAAAACCGAATCAGTCCGAAAAAAAATATGTTTATTCAGAGAAAGTATGTTTTTCTGTCTGATTTCATCACTTAAAATATCGTCTGCACTTATTCATTAACATAGTTGAGGTAACCCCCTCGAACCATTAAGATTGAGATTCTTAGATCAAAAGTTATCAAAGATGGTTCGTTTTTTATTTTGCTCACGGCAGTCATAAGTGTGGTTGGCGCATGTTAATGTTAAAAAGAGAGTTTAGGCTTCAATGAAACTGACTGGCCAGTACATTTTAATTACCTATTTAACTTGTTCGATAAATGTGAACACTGACTTTAATTTTTTTTAACCTCCTGGTTAAGACAACCTAACACATTGAATAATAAAGAAGAAGATACCAAGAGATAGGCGAATAAGAGATTTTTGATTAAAAGATTTTGAAATTCTTCTTATTTAAAAAAAGCGGACCTAGTATAATTCTCACATTGGATTTCAATCTATGTTTCATTCAATGTAAGTGTTCTAAAAATACACAGACGATATAAGTTCAGCCTGATAACCATCATACCCTACGTATTTTAAAATTTTTTTATAATATAATGAACATTTAAGATGATGTGTTTCTGTTGTTCCCTCACTTCACATTTGAGTTAAAAAAAATTACTACAAAAAAAATATGTAAAAGAACTTATTTTAAATATTATTATTATGTAAGAATGAAGAAAATGTTTTTTGTGTGGTGGGCGGTTGGTGGTGTAAATGCATTTTGTTATCATTACCGAATCTATTACACAATTCAATGACGCGATATCTCTTTTTTACTGATTGTGTGACGTCACAGCAATCATTCCACTTTATCTCTAATACAAGTCGTCGGTATAATCTATGAAAAAGCATTATTAAAGTAGAATGGCAATAAATTGCGATAAATTGGAGTCTCTCTCGACAACATAGTTTCCTTACGACGGATTTCTGCCTATAACGAAATTTTAAAAAAATATTCTCCCTATAGCGAATTTGGGGTTTATTTTCTTCGTCAGTTTTTGACCTCTACCCTTTTTATTTTCGTCATTTTTGAAGAAAGTTGGAGGAATTTCTATACAACCGATTCGTCTTCCATGTGCCTGTTTTTTAGAACAACATACTTTTTTTTTTCTGTGCTAACAAAAAAAATTTAAACAAAAAATATGATCCTTCCAGCAGTGTTTTTAGGATAGTATTTCGCTTACCATCGCCTTTATTTTTGAAAAAAAAATCTCGATTTTAAGTCTTAAATTTTTTTTTCTGACCTTCAAATTTTATCTACTGGAATTTCCTGTTTCATGTACAAAACATTAGTGTCGATTTGAGAAATTTTGCATCTAAGGGCCTCGATCAAATTAACGTCTTAATTTTTTTAATGAATCTTATTTTCTAATGATCTAATTAGGATTTTTCCTAGACAAGAGAATACTATTGCAATATTTTCTGTTTCATCGTTATGATAAAACAAAAAAGCTTTCAAATTATTAATACTGCGCAATTTCAAAGAATGAAAATTTTCTATGGACAAATTGTATGTATGTATAGATATATATAAGTTCAAAATGAAGAATAAAACAGAGAAAAATAATAGATATATGAAAAAAAGGGGAGGGGGAAATAATAAGTAAAAAATAGCAAACAACAGTTTATAAAAAATAACAATAATAAAAAATAAAAATAAAAAAAATAAAATTAAAAAAAAAATCATGAAATGTTAATTAAAAAACCGGAAGAAAAAAAAGGATATAATCTTTTCTTCAGCCCACACGATTATATCCGCAAAACAGAGTGCTTTCTGATATTGTATCAATAAAGCCAAAGCTAAATAAATTAATACAATAGTGTGAGGAGCACTCAAAAAAATTTTTTAAAAATAACAACAAATGAAATNGTGATAATATATTATGTCTTTGTGCTAGAACATTGTGTTCATTGGCGAGCGAGCGCAGCGAGCCATGGTTCACGGCGTGAACCACATAGGATTGCGTAGCAATTCTCGGGGGTTGGCGAGCGTTAGCGAGCAGGGGGCCGAGCCTCCTAGTAATTGGAATTTCCTGATTCATGTACAAAACATTAGTGTCGATTTGAGAAATTTTGTATCTAACGGCCTCGAACCAATTAACATCCAAATTTTTTTTAACGAATCTTATTTTCTAATTATCTAATTAGGATTGTTCCCTAGACAAGAGAATA